GGCCTTGCTGCCGGATGTAGTTTATCGTCATACCCAGAAGTATATCATTTCAGAATCTAATAACTTGAACAGTTATCATTGAAACGATCTCGAACTTTAACAGCATCTGTAGCAACAACCCAAAATCCTCTCTTTTAAGTTTTTTTCTTTTCTTTCAGGTATCGAAATGGCATTCACTGGAAAAGAAAAAAAATATTTCGTGTGTCAGAATATGCTCGAATCAAGCCAGGCTTCTCGGCTTGACGGTCGAACTCTCTGCCTCTGAGCAGAGAGGAATCCGGACGAGGCTCCACCGAAGGGCAGAGTCTCGTTCGAGGAGGTTGACCAACCCGATCCCGTTTATACGGGTTCTACAGGCATTTTTTGGCCGAGTCTACGGGCTCGGGAAACCCACATTAAACTCGGCCTTGTGCCACATGCAACCCTCGTAGGGGTGGGGGCTAGATACCGAATATGCTCGAACCCTGTCGAAAAGATTTTGCAGCGTGGATTTTTGTGAGGGTAAGCTAAAAATGCATCAAGTGCAATAGAGATTTGGATATGACACAAAATGGTCAAAGGGAAAAGCTGTCTGTGCAAGGTAAAAGGATCTTTCAATGTGCGCACCGAGTATTGAGAAATAATCAAAACTGTTCATGAAATCCACATGCCTTCGAATTTCTCATTCTAATTTTGATAAATAAATCTTATTTTGCTCAACAAAAAGCTTCTCTAGTTTCCTTTGCCTAGACAATGTAATTACACAAATATTTACATCTAAAATGATATCAGATACTTAATAACACCCTGTATTGTTTGAATAAAGTCACGATCCTACAAAACTGAATTTATCGTACACGATCTCTAGCAAAATTCATTCTGATGACGATTTGAAAATCACTCCAGGAACCACATTTGCCAGTGTGGCGGGCTGCATACAGCCGGTGGGTAGTACTTTTTTGAAAACCTTGTTTAGAATTGCAGAGGATAGGAAGTTGTGGAGAGATATAATCAGCAACATCGTTAAGAGACACCGCACAAAGAAGAAGAAGAAATATAGATCCTTGTCTTAGTCGGTTTGGTTTGCTTTAGTTTGTTTTGTTTTACGACATATCAACACCTCAATGGGTTATGTAATGCCGACAAAATTTTTATTGCTGGTAATATTTCTAATCTATCTATTTCAGTATATAATGCTTTGGTTTGTTTTGTTTTACGGCATATCAACACCTCAATGGGTTATGTAATGCCGACAACATTTTTATTGCTGGGAATATTTCTAATCTATCTATTTCAGTATATATTGGTTTGGTTTGTTTTGTTTTACGGCATATCAACACCTCAATGGGTTATGTAATGCCGACAACATTTTTATTGCTGGGAATATTTCTAATCTATCTATTTCAGTATATATTGGTTGGGTTTGTTTTGTTTTACGGCATGTCAACACCTCAATAGGTTATTTAACGCCGACAACATTTTTTATTGCTGTTAATATATTTCATCTATATATTTGAGTATATATTAGTTTCGTTTGGTTTGTTTTGTTTTACAGCATATCAGTCTGAATGGGTTATTAAATGCCGAAAAGATTTTTATTGCTTGTAATATTTTATATCTATCTATCTCAGCATATATTGTTTTTTTTTGGGGGGGGGGTTACAGCATATAAACCTCAATGGATTATTTAATGCCGATAAAATATTTATAACTGGGAATATTTTTAATCTATTTCAGTATACATTGGTTTGGCGTGTTTTCATTTACCTCAAACGTTTAGTTAATGCCGAAAAGATTTTTCTTGCTGGGAATATTTTTAATCTATCTATTTCAGTATATATTGGTTTGGTTTGGTTTCTTTTACGGCATATCAACCTCAATGGGTTATTTAATGCCGAAAATATTTTTATTGCTGTGAATATTTTATATCTATCTATTTCAGTATATATTGGTTTGATTTGTTTTGTTTTACGGCATAGCAACATCAATGACTTATTTAATGAGGACAAGATTTTGATTGCTGGTAATATTTTTAATCTATCTATTTCAGTATAGAGTGGTAATATTGCTGGTAATATTTTTAATTTATCTATTTCAGTAAATATTGGTTTGGTTTGTTTTGTTTTACGGCATATCAACAATAATGGCTTATTTAATGAGGACAAGATTTTGATTGCTGGAAATATTCTTAATATATCTATTTCAGTATACATAGGTTTTGTTTTGTTTGACGGCATATCAAAGTCAATGTGTGACTTAATTCCGACAAGATTTTTATCGTTGTGAAAATATTTAAACTGGGTATTTTATTATATATTGTTTATTTTGTTTTGTTTTACACTATATCAACCTCAATGAGATATTAATGCCGACAACATTTTTATTGCTGGGAATATTTTTAATTTATCTATTTCAGTATATATTGGTTTGGTTTGTTTTGTTTTAAGGAATAGCAACCTCAAAGGGATATGTAATGCCGAAACGATATTTATTGCTTGCAATATTTTTATCTATCTATCTGAGTATATATTGTTTTTGTTTCTTTTGATTAACGACATATCAACCTCAATGGGTTATTTGATGCCGTCAAGTTTTTTATTGCTGGGAATATTTTAATCTATCTATTTCACTATATATTGGGTTAGTTTGTTTTGTTTTACGGCATATCAACCTCAATGGGTTATTTAATGCCGACAAGATTTTAATTGCTGGTCATATTTTTCGTCTATCTATTACAGTACATATTGGTTTGGTTTATTTTTCGGCATATTAACTTTAATTGGTATTTTAATATCTATTTCAGTATATATTGGTTTTGTTTGGTTTGATTTACGGCATTATCAAACTAAATGGGTTATTTAATTCCCACCAGATTTTTATAGCTGGGAATATTTTTAATCTATCGATTTCGGTATATATTGATTTGGTTTGTTTTGTTTAAAGGGATATCAACCTCAATGAGTTATTTAATGCCGACAAGATTTTTATTGCTTGGAATATTTTTAATCTATCTATTTTGTATATGTTGGTTTGCTGTGGTTTACGGTATATCAACCTCAATGGGTTATTTAATGCTGACACGGTTTTTATTTACGTGAATATTTTTAATCTATCTATCTCAGTATATATTGCTTTGGTTTGTTTTGTTTTACGACATATCAACCTCAATGTGTTATTTAATGCCGACAAGATTTTTATTGCTTGTAATATTTTTATCTATCTATCTCACTATATATTGGTTTGGTTTGGTTTGATTAACGGCATATCAATCTCAATGAGTTATTTAATGCCGACAAGATTTCTATTGCTGGTAATTTTTTTAATCTATCTATTTCATCATATATTGTCTTGGTTTGATTTGTTTTACGGCAAATCAACCTGAAAGGGTTATTTAATGCCGACAAGATATTTATTGCTGGTAATATTTTTAATTTATCTATTTCAGTAAATGTTGGTTTGGTTTGGTTTGTTTTACGTCATATCAACCTCAATGCGTTATTTAATGCCGACAAGTTTTTTATTGCTTGTAATGTTTTTATCTATCTATCTATCTCAATATATATTGGTTTGTTTTGTTTTGTTTTGTTTGGTTTTACGGCATATCAACCTCAATGTGTTATTTAAGGCCGACAAGATTGTTATTGCTGGTAATATTTTTAATCTATCTATTTCAGTTTATATTGGTTTGGTCTGTTTTGTTTTACGGCATTTCAACCCCTATTCGTTGTTTAATGCTGACTAGACTTTTTATTGCTGGGAATATTATTAATCTATCTATTTCAGTATATAATGGTTTGGTTTCGTTTGTTTTACGTCAAATCAACTTCAATTGGTTTTTTAATGCAGACAAGATTTTTATTGCTAGGAATATTTTTAATCTATCATTTTCAGTGTATATTCGTTTAGTTTGTTTTGTTTTACGGCATATCGACCTACCTGGGTTATTCAATGCCGACAAGATTTTTATTTCTGCTATTAATTTTAATCTATCTATTTCACTTTATATAGCTATGGTTTGTTTTGTTTTGATGTATATGAACGTGAATGGGATATTTAATGCTGGCAAGTTTTTTAAACCTGGGAAAATTTTTCTTCTATGTTAGTATATATTAGTTTGGTTTAGTTCGTTTTACTGCATATCAACCTCAATGGGTTATTTAATGCCGACAAGGTTTTTATTGCTGGGAATACTTTTAATCTATCTATTTCAGTATATATTGGTTTGGTTTGGTATGTTTTACGGTATATCAACCTCTATGGGTTATTCAATGCCGACAAGATTTTTATTGCTGGTAATATTTTTAATCTATCTATTTCAGTATATATTGGTTTGGTTTGGTTTGTTTTACGGCATATCAACCTCAATAGATTATTTAATGACGCCACGATTTTTATTGCTGTTAATATTTTTTTCAAAAATGTATTTTTGGTAATATTTTTCCAAAAGTTTATTGCTCGCAATATTTTTTTACTAAATTTATTGCTGGTAATATTTTTTTCTCTAAAATGTGTTGCTGCTAATAATTGTTCTTCCAAAATATATTACTGGTAATATTTTTTCCAAAAGAATATTGCTCTTATTTAAACCTATTTTGACACTTTCATTGTGTTTTGCCGTATTTTGGGGGTTTAAATACTTGCCCATAGCTGGGACTCTAACAGATGCTACCCTCTCATGTCAGGGTGGACCTGGGAAGTCTAGCAATTAAGAGGTGGTTCCTCGCTCCTCAAAACCTCCAGAACAGAGGATTTGCTGTCGGATGTAGTATATCGCCTTACCCAAGACGCGGATGTATTTTATCGTCTTACCCAGGACGGGTCTTAGACGGTGTGTGCCAGCCAAGTGGACACTGAAAGCGTAATTACGGATAAAAAATAACAAAAGACAGAGAATTATAAATGGTTAAAAAATATTTCTGTTTGTTTATATTATTTTTTTTAAAGAACTGCTTTTTTTTTTTTTTTTTTTTTTTGCCACCAACTCCAAACTCTTAATTCGCTTACCGTTTATTAAACTTAAGATTTTTTTTTTTCGGTTTTCCCGACCCCTCGGGCCACGCCTCGATCAGTCTTCAGTTTCTCTGGTGCACTGGTTGACCGTAACTTAATTCCAACAAGTTGAAAGTAGAATGACAATGGCGGCGCCAAAAGCCATGTTCCGATCGTCAGATTTAATTGTGAATGAGCGAAGATTTATTTTCAAGAGAGTAATTGGCGGCCATTTTGTCAAAATAATGAAGCGATTCGGGATTGTCAGAAGAAGAAGAAGAAGAAGAAAAAAGAGATGACGAAGAAATATTGATGTACATAAGGAAATAGACAAAAATATATTTACATAGAAATATATAGATTATTAGAAACAACACAAGGACTGGCTAAAGAAATAATTATTTTGTCTTTTCATGAGTTATCGCATTTAAACCTATATATATATATATATATATATATATATATATATACGGGGTGTCCCAAAATAATGTATACATTCTTTGAATCGTTATAACTTATTTAATTTATGTATTTTGACTTGTAAATAAGATTAATACTAGAGAAAGTATACAAATTTGAAGAATTTGAGATTAAAATATACAAAAAACAGAGAAAATTAACTTTAATAAGATAAAAGCTACTTGGGGCAATGGCAGAATGTTCATATAATGATGAGTTCACATCAAGTGCTCAAAATGGTTGCCGTTCTGTTAAATACACTTTTCATATCTTGAAGAAATAGACCTACAAACGTCCAGCATCATTTCCTCTGGTATATGAGCACATTCTTCTTCAATTGCTACTCTCATTTCAGCAATTGTTTCAGGTTTCCTGCTGTAAAATTTGTCTCTTAGAAACAACCCCAAAAAAGAAATCCAAGTGTGTCAAATCTGGGGATCTAGGTGGGTATTCAACTGTCTCTCTTCTCCCACTCTATTTGCTTTGCATATTTTCATCCATATAAGTTCTCACATCACGGTAATGTGTTATTAACTATTAATATTTGAAGAGTGTATACATTATTTTGGGACACACTGTATAAAAAATTATAAAATGAAAAATGTTATTTCTACCGGCCCTCTTGAAGAAAGTGTGAAATATTTAACCCTCCCAAAAAATGCTTAACTACCACCACCACCCTCCCAAATTGACTTTCTTTCATATTTAGCAAGTGTCATGTCAAAGAGGACGAAAAGTGTGACACTGAAATCCGAGGGCGTATTGGAATTCCCAAAGATGCTTTCCAAACGCTAAGCAGGGTAATAAGAAATAGAAAAACTTCCCTTGAAACAAAGAAAAGGGTAGTAAACTTGAAATGTCTACTGAACAATCTCCTTAAAGATAGTGAACATTGAAGTCAACATTCAGAGGCGACATGCTGTTTCATGCTGGACGCAATATGAAGAAGAGACATGACGCAGCAGAAATATGATTTTACAGAAAGATGCTGAAGTTACCATTGAATGAATATGTGAGCAACGACGAAGCTTTAGAAAAATCGAAACAAAAAAGAAACATATACTTAGCATCAGGAAAAGCAGTTGAAGTTTTTAGAGCACGTAATGAGGAAAGAGGACTTGGAAAATCCGATACTCACAGGACAGATTGAGGGCAAGATGAACAGGACAACAACGCGTAATATAGTGAGCTTGAGTATATGGGTAATTGAACAAAGTTTAGGAGAGATAATAGAAAGACAAAATTTATTAGGCGCTCCAAGGGACAAGAAGCTGTGGAGAGCCATGCTCGCTTAAGTCCTAAGGAAGCTTTTAAATGACAAAACACTTGATCTTAAAGTATTGGCTGTCTGTAATTAGTGTTGCTTCAGATTTTAGCCACAATGGAAATATTTTTGTGCGTGTGTGTGGAAAGTGGGGTCTCCTCGACGTTTTTGCAATGGCTAGCTAGGTTGTTTCGCTAGAACAATTTGAGTAGTGAGTTCGATCCTGTGTGCCCCATGCCGTGTGCCACATCTTGAAAATCACTTTAATGTGGGATGTTTCAGTATGCCGACGTCTCTACCAAATGGGGCACAAGGTCGACATTTAAAGTGATTTTATCGTCAATACTGGAGAGAATTTTCTCAAGAACCACCCAAGGGCTCTTCTTCATTTGGCAATGCCTCAGGTGCTAAGGAATGATCCCAATAATTTTCTGACAACTGTACACTCTATCTTATAATAATTTCTTCAAGCAAAGAGTAGATATTCCCATATATTATAAAAAATGAATTTTTTACATGGTAGTAATTCAAATGTGTTTGAAAGGCGAGAAGCCAGAAAGAAAAAGGTAACAAACTTTATGTCTAGTTGTTCGATACATAGGACTGCATCTATCGCCCGACCCGTTCTGTGGATTGTGACACGTCGCTTTCGCTAGGCAAGTTTTAACGCTTCAAGTTGTTTGCTCTCTAAGAAATTTGTGTTTCGGTGTGTCTTTGGACGAAAGTCGAAAAACTTATTTCGGTGGTCTGGTTCTAAGTCGCTCTTCAAAATAATTGTTCTTGGTTGAAGAGGAGTCCGAAATTTTGCGTGAATCTTGGTCAGCTATCTTGAGGCAGCTTCAACTCTGGAAACTGGAGCTCGAACTTTGGATACTCATCTCCGCCGCCAGGGCCGAACGAAATGGACACTCATCTCTGCCGTCAGGGCGCGAACTTTCTGGACACTCATCTCTGCTGTCAGGGCTCGAACTACTGGGCACTCATCTCTGCCGCCAGGGCCGAACGAACTGATTTCTGCCTGTTGGTGCCTGGTTTTTATTGACGCCGACAAAAACCGGGTTGGGTCTGTTGGCGTCGGGGAGTTCCTCGATAATTCTAAATACATATCCACCTCTTTTATTTCTGGTTAGGGATTTTCCACTCTTTTCCATTTTTGGTAACTTTTTTTTTTTCACTCCCACTTTCTCAACGTGCTTCTGAGGGGCGTGAACTGCCCTCCCCACTTCTTCGTAGCAGCTTCTCATACTTATACTCTGGATGGGGGCGTCGACAGCATTCTTCGTGTGTCACGTGATCACTCTCGGCCAATGAGGTCTTGGTCGGGTATCTTTCCTCCTCCTTCGTGCGTCATGTGATCACCACTTGACCAATGACGTCTTAGTCGGGCGTGAACAACCCGCGGCTTTGTTTCGGGAAAAAAATACTTTGCTTAACTAAAAAATTAATTATTCCTTCTCTTTCCTTTTTTTCTTCCTTTCAAATCGCCGTTATCATGAAAGGATAATATGACAACTCTTTGTTCAACACGTGGCGTTTGTCAAGCAGTTTATCGCCAATTCATCAGATGACATGGCCTCAGAAAAGAATTTTCTCCAAGTTTTCAGTCGGTCTGACGTCTCCAAGGAAGAAATAAAAACATTTCTCATTCCATTCATTTTCCTTCGGTTCGTGTGTCTGATAACAAAATTTTATTATCGCAGGGCAAAAGTCTGTTTTAGCGAGACTGCTTGTGTGGGATTTTAACTTTCCATATCTAGCTAAGGCTCCGTACCTACACCTGTGTTTTGTCAATTATCAAAATCTAACGTTTTCAAGTGGACTTTCTTTGGCGAACATTTCTTGATAACACAATTCCATTCGCACAGGCCAAGTAGGAAAATCGGTCAATGATTGCTCGCAGGTGGCCTTTAATTTTCATATCTGTCCAAAAGTCTTTTTTAGTCGCCTGTTTCTTGTCGTCACTTATCGAAATAACATTTTCGCTTGAATTTTTCCCTTGGCCGGTGGCCTGTGTTTTGATAATAAGATGCCTTCTCGTACCAATAGTTTGTTTTCATACCCTTAGATAACACATCCCTACCCACTCAATCTCATTGTCATTGTAATGACACTCTTTTCGCCATTTGCCACTTATCCAAAATAACCCTTTTTTTTTATTGCCTCTTAAGCCGTATGTGTGTTTTCGCTTATCACCTATGATCCGTCTCGCATTACTTTTTCCCTTCCTTTCTTCTTTGCCTCGATGCATGATGCCACAGGTTCGTTATATTCACTTACGCGCAAATAACGTTGAGAAGAATATGAATCCATGTCTTCTCCCCTAGATATGGGTTAATAAGTAAGACTTGAATCGCTAAATCATTATTATCTCAAAACAAAATTCTGGCCACCTAAAAATATTTTCTGTCTTTAAATAACCTGGAAAAGGTTGATAAGCCGTCAAACAATCAATATGGATAAATATGGGACAGATTTCAGAGAGGATGTATCTCCAGTCCAGGGTCAAAATTTGTCTATCCTACATATCCTCATAGTCTACATTAACTTCCTCCTCTTACGTCTATGCAATAACCTCGTTCTATAATCCTTTGTGTGAACATTTAGTAAAGAAGAGGTCTTTTCGTGAGTTTTTGTTTGTTTTAATCATTTCGCTCCAAGCAAGGCGATAATGCCACTAAGACGCAAAGCGGGGTGGAGGTACTGGGAGTGAAAGAAAATGAAATATTTTAAGAGGAGGAACCGGAAACCCAATCCTGGACAGGAATCAAGGGATGAACCTCTACTCCTGTTCAAAAGACAAGAGAGGAGTGTGAAAAAGATAACAGGCGCAGATAATAATTAAATAGAAAAATTTTGGTTTATCATTAATCTATCTATCTATCAATCTACCTATCTATCTATTTCGGTTTTTATATCTATCTATCTATCTATCTATCTATCTATCTATCTATCTATCTCGGTTTTTAGACGTATCATTCAATTTATGTACTTATCTATCTATCTGGGTTTTCCTATCTATCTATCTATCTATCTCAATTTTTATATTTATCTATCTCGGTTTTTATATCTATCTATGTATCGATCTATTTATCTATCTATCTCGGTTTGTATATCTATCTATCTATCTATCTCGGGTTTTATATCTATCTATCTATCTATCTATCTCGTGTTTAAGAATGGAAAGATGGGGATGGAATGATGGATATGAAAGGATAAAAGACTTGTGATTCTACAGAAGGATTCTGAGAATGTCATGGACTGAACATGCAAAAGCCAATAACGTTTTAACGGAAATGGAAATATAATTGACGCGTATACTTATAATTAGAAGGAGACAAATGATGTTCCTAGGACACTTAATAAGGAAAGACGGCTTGGAGAATTAGACACAGACAGGACATTGAAGGCAAGGGGGAAAGAGGAAAACACCGAATAAGCTAGTTAACGGGCTTGTGAAAATGGCTGATAGAAGAGAGCATATGAAAGATAGCAAAACGATAAATCTTACTAACAGCTATAAAGAAGAGGAAGTTGTGGAGAACAGTGATTTCACACATCCTGTAGGGTCACGGTTCGTAGAAGAAGAAAAAGATATAAGCTTTGTTTTGTGTATCACAAGGCTTTTTCACCGACGTGTCGTGGCTTTCCTCTGTCTTTTCTACAAATATTTTCATGGCAATTGCTATAATGACTTTTTTCCCTGGTTCCCCGACTACATAAATTTAAGCGTGCTACTACATTGGAACCTTTTCGAGCTATGCCGGTCAAACTCTCTACCTCCGGGCAGAGAGTTTGGCCAGACAAGGCTATGTCGAAGGGCTGAGTCTCGTCTCGGGAAACAACTACTCGACCCCGTTTTATACGGGGTCTACAGGAAAGTTTTGGCTGATCCTACGGGCTCGGATACCCCACATTAAATTCGTCCCTGTGCCACATCTGATCGCGTGGTGAGGTTAGTAAATACACTAGATTGGCGTGTAGGTCCCAACCGTTTACCGTTGGAGTATTTTGATACAACCGCCACATCTACTCCAACAGTAAGCTCTTTCTGATTTTTAGTATAAACTGTTTCCATTTTTCTTAAAATATCATCATTACTTATATGTTCAGGCCATGTTATTCTCAGCATCATTCTGGAGAACCAAATTTCTGTTGTTCAAAATGACGGTCGTCTTCGAGTATAGAATCCAGAGGTTAGCAGTGAATATGTCGAAGACAGTAGGAAAGCGTTGTTCAGGTTAGCAGTGGATATTTTGGTAAAAGTAGCAGAGCATAGTTCGTCCTTCTGGTTCTCTTCGCCTGACAAGCTGGACTGGACATTCGGGTAGAGTGAACAAAAATGGCCGCCTTTATACACGACGGATTGAATATTCTACGTCTTCTGATTGGTTAACCTTCTATTTGTGAACTATAAAGTGATTTAAGTCATCTGAGCTAACTCACTAGTACATACATATATATATATATATATATATATATATATATATATATATATATATATATATACACACAAAAACTGTAACAATTTCTGGTGCCTCAAGTCTGTTTTTCTTGACAGATGAAGCTCTAGCCCTGTTCAAAACACGATGAGATAGGCAAACCTGTCTACTCCTACTTTGTGGCCTTGTACCAAATTATGCTAAACTTAATAAATAGGTTACATAAGCTATGTATAGAGACAGTCTGAGATATGCAATAAACTGAAATTCTAAAGCGAAATAGAGAGAGTGAAATGCGTGATAGACTTCACATTCCGGACACTAGTTTCTTAGATATGTGACAATCATTTCCAGTTTCCCCCGAAGAGCGATGATCAACGCTTGGTCAGAACGGGAACTCCACTTGACTGACCGGCAAATTATTGCGAGGCTTGAGTTCTACCTTCGTGGCGTGTTTGCCAACAATAAGTAAAGCCAAATCCTGTCTATTAATTCCACTCAAGTAAACTGTCTTGATTGCTACGTTTACGAAAAATGGCCGAAGGCCGGTAGTAACGCTCTCACGGAAGCCCTTTACCCAATACCGTCTGTGTATCCCAAACAGACCACCAACGTCTTTGACCCGCGTGCGCACACATTTGTACAGACATGCGTGCGATGAAGGCATTCTTTCAACACACAGGGGTTAAATGAAGCGTGTAATAACTGACGACTCCCCACGAAATTGAAACGTCTTGTTAAAACCAGGGCAGATGTAATATTATTCAATAAGAGGTTGGTGAGAGGTGTATTTCGTTTATTCTCACATAAACATTTCAAAAATTGTTATTTTTACCGTAAGTAGTAATGGTTATTTTTAAGGGCTTGATAAGCGATGAACAGTGTGTCTAATCTCTTGTATTAGTTGTGACAAGGAAATTAGTTTGAAATTAAGGGGACACACTTGGATGTGTTATAAATCTTCAATCTCTCTCTCTCTTTCTTTCTCTCTCTCTCTCTTCATATATATATATATATATATATATATATATATATATATATATATTACAATGAATCATTCATACAAATTAAATTAATTACAAGTAAATTCATACAAATTGAATTAAATTAATTATAAGTAAGTTAGTAAAGTTACTGATATAAAATGGCGAAATCCCTTCGCTAACAAAATTTTAATGATGCATTAACCTACTAATCCCTCGATGAATGTTATGATCCTTGATTTTAAAATTATAAACTGCACACTCCAAAGTTTGTATCCGTTATCAATAACACATTAAACAAACAAAAAACAAAAAAAAAAAAAAAAAACCGATTCGCATTATATTTTTTCGTCTCGGATGCTACCTGAATTTTACCAAAAACAAAAT